CCTTCACTTCCTTTACCCCACCATCATTAACTCTGCGTTATCGTCTCAATGGCATCATAGACCACATCGCCTCCAGTTCGGGGGCCGGGCGATTATTGCCTCTCCGACTTTGTCTACTCCGTTGATCGCAGTGGACCTTGTAGGCGCAAGCCGTCGCGCTTCCTTTCCTTCCTCAGCCTGTCTCAGCTATTTTCGTCACCCTTGTTTATGAAGATTTGTCCCCTTTCATCAGAGCAGCATTGGAATCATGGAAGCGTTCCTGTTGTGGCTGATCTCGCCGAACTCTCTTTGCTTCTGTTCCCCTTCTCCCGATAAACACTAGATACCATTCCAGACATTTGTATTTATGGCGTCACACCCCCAAGGTGGATGAACCGGCGGAAAGATAAAGCATGTACTCCATAATGAGGTGCAGTCTCGAACCTTCCTTGTTTGCCCACCACCACCACCACCAAGGTCAACAGGTAGGGCGTGTACGTGTTGTACTACCGGCATGCACTGCATTCGAGCCATATGGCGCGATCATTGGATCTAAACGGCGGCTGATCTTACCGCACAGATCCTACTAGGGGTCGTCGCAATTTCAGATACGCATACTGCAGGAGACGACCTAACGACGGAGTTCCGCGCTGGAGGCGCACCACTAGTTACCATGTGTAAGCTTGTACGTAAAGCATTGGTCCATCCCTCCCCTGTACTCGGAGTCTTAGACACTGCCCTGGAGACTCTAGACCAAGAGCGGTGGAGTAGGAGGACTTGATTGACAGCTGACGCCCCTCGGTCGATGATGGGTGCCCGAATCAAAGAAGGGTGCCAATCTAGGCTGAGGGGGGGGGTTGATGGTGGGCTGTTGACGATCAGACCTAGAAGCCCCGCGTAGACCATATCGTCCGGAAAGCCAAGACGACATGTCATCCGGATACGACAGCATGATTGGGAGGGGTTGAGCTTTTTCCCTCTCGACCCGATAAGCGTGGTTCGGTCGGTTATGGAAAAATCCAGAGAGATCGGAGAATACAGGGTGTACTAAAGGTTGGTGGGAGGGTGATGTGATGTGATGGGCTAGGAACCAAAGCGACAAATGGCTCTGCTAAAACCAAGAAGCGTCATCACACTCAGTAGAGTAGTTGCCTAGGATTGTGGAGGAAATCAAGGCTCGGTGGACGTGACTCCGTAGGTTTAGTTAGGCTATCTCCAAGGACAGTACTGTACAGTAGTAGTACCCCGCTCCGGCAACGCAGGAGTGCCGATTGTAGGTATGCCGATTAGGATGATTAGAATTCCAATATAAGAATGCGGGATGGCGAACAACGGATCCGGAGAGGGCTGGAATCTAATTCTTTCTTCTCCTTCAATCTGACCTCAATTCTCTCCACCGGATCCAGAGCAGTCACAGCGTCCAGGTACTAAATTTAGAGACCATCCAGCGAAAATTCTGTTTCAACCAGCGGAGATCGATTGCAACGGTCCCCGGTGCGTCAGCCAGGACAGTAACTGCGGAGTATCCGTTACGAGTTACGAGTTACGAGTAACTCGACGTGTAACTATTGGACTGGACGATTAGGTCATCCAGGCTCCAGCTGGTGGTGAGGTAAGCAGGTGTCATTTTTGTTATGTTGCTCGTTGCTCGTTGCTCAATGGAGAAGACCATTGAGAGCAATTGAAGACGATTGAAGACATGATTGCGCGTCGAGTTGATGCCTGAGGCAACCAGGGGGGCCAATCCCTCCGTTCTAGACCGCAATGGCGTGACTTCCAAGGTGGACTTGACGTGCTCGGCGGTTGTCACCTCGCCCTGGGGAAATAATGCGCAATCGTTTGGGGAATTGGGGAATTGGGGAATTGGGAAGAAAAGCTGACCTTCTCATCTAGGTGGTATTGCTCTCTCTACCCAAGTATATGGATAGAGTTCAGTTCTAGAATCCCCCGCACTCAGTTATATTTACCATATCTTCCCCTTCTACCTCCCTCGCCCTCCCTCTGCCTTTCCTCGTCATACTCCCATCGGTTCATCGGCAATCGGACATTCATTCATCGATCGACTTCCAAGAAGGGACCTGAATCGACCACTGTTCTTATACATCGACGATTCTTGTGTCTTGTGTACCTTGTTTCGATTATCCCTTGGTCACGCAATATTCTCCGAGCGAATTTTTGGTTTTACTTTTCAGCCAGCTGCACGATAACCCATCACCGCCACTTAATAATCCCGCAACGGGATCACAACAACACCCACCCTTCTTTGGCATCAGCCGTTGCACGTGCAGTGCGGTGTACCCTGAGAACGATATCGTCATCGTCCTCCCTCATCCCCAACAATTACAAGAATAAAAAAAGGGGGCAGGAAATTCTGTTTTCTCTGCAAGCCAGACAACAACAACAAGCAAAAAAAAAAACAGTTTCTTGGTATGTATGCCTCCTCGTATCAGGCTAAAATCTATTATGCCTTGTTGGAAAGTGCCTTATCTCTCCCCACTCAGAGGCCTTTGATAACCGTCCAACAAGTCGGCCACTTCCCGTTTTAGTGGAACTGCGCCTTTATTTTTGTGACTGATCTGACCATTGCCGTGCCACTGCAGATACACAGATACACAGATACACCCTCTGAAAAGCTTATCGGCATCATTATCATCATAAAGAATTTGCAATCCGGCTGCTACATATTTGCCTCATTGCTGGGGTTCCCTTCCAAAAAAGAAACACCAAAAAGGGCGCTCAGATCTGTATTCTTAGGTCATTCCGTCGGATTGATCCAGCACATGCTTTCAATCATTGTCTCCTTTCTGAACAAGTGCGAGGCATTATTACCATCACGGGAGCTGCAATACCTCGCAGTACCACTATCCGAGACAGGCTGGTCCAGCTGGTTGGTCCAGCTGTGCACTTGACCACCCCCCCCTGCTAGACGCAAATCCCTCATACTCTGACCCCATCAGGGGAAGCTCTCGTGCTCCACAACTGGACGCGGCCTCCATCGGCGCAAGGTACCACCCGCCGAACTATCTCAGATAGAGCCACTTCGGTGCCTCTGGACGAGTATATTTTTTTTATTTTTATTTTTTGATTGCTCTACACATATACCCCTTCACCGCCATCCATGACTCAAGGCGCTTTTCATCACCGCCGCACACCCTCGGGTTCGAATGCCACTAAAGTGAGGACCTCCCGGCCGGCACTACATCGGAGAGGCACTTCCTGGGTGAATCATTCCATCTCAAAGCTAGGCTCTGGACAGCCCAACAAGCATTTGCAGGTGGAAGACGACCGGCAACCCGAGATGGCGGCCAGCTTCCTTAACTTCTGGTATGTACCTGGATTGCTTCTTCTTCTTGGCTTGCATTTTCTCTCTATTCTCTTATCTAGAGTTCACTCAAAGCTAATTGATCAACAGCGCCATGTGCGAGAGACAGATAACAGTGCCAGACAACACTCTTCTTTACTGCAGTGAAAGGTATGAGAATCTCCTTATCGTGCACAATACTTGCCAGTCACTGAGCACAGCTCCGTTGTTTAAATCCCACCTCATCCTCCTATCCGGCTTAAACATCCTGATACTCATGCTTACATTCGTCTTATCCATAGCTGCCGTCGCAAGGACTCCCACAAACCACTTTCAGCATCCTTCTCATCTGCTCCCTCCATGTCTTCCTCTTCGACTCCTCCGAGCTCTCCTCTGATGTCTCCGAGGATGATCGTCGCGCCCTTGACCCCGACAAGAAGCTCCACCAGATTGTCCAGCTCTGCCCGGATACCCGGCGAGTGGCTTGATATCAAGACGGATCAGGATCCCAGCGAATGGAAGCCTGTAATATCGATGTGCAATGGTGCTCATTCTGTGGCAACCTCGGATGCCTGGAAGTATCTGTCTCAGTTTCACAACGATGATCGTGGTGTGCCGCTGCGCCGCCCTGGGCTCGGTCATCGCAGCTCCGCCAGCCTGGCTACTCTCATGAGTAGTACAGGACCCGTTCCCTCGCTGACCCATACGCCGTCTACGGTCGCGTCGTCGTTCAGCAGCAACGCGTCGGATTATATGGGTCAGATGCACGATCCGGCATACCGTCCGTTGCCGCCGCGCCACAACCCGCACTTTTGCAGTTCGAGTGCGGCCAAAGGGGTTGAGCTGGTAGTTCCTCACGTGCATGTGCAGGCTGAGGACGTCTCCCCCGTTGACATGTCCAATGATGGGTCCATCTTTCCTGCCAGCAGTGCACTGTGGAACGAGAAGCCTCTCAACAAGACATCTACCTTGACCACAACCTTGGGTGCAGTGAGCTCCGATGTGCCTATGCGTTCTGTCTGAGCACTAGGTAGCTGTTTCGCGTACTTGGCATAGTTGTGTGTTTTGAGTATGCTCAATTCCTCAACCATACACACCTGGGTCGCGTGTCAACTGCAGCAGTGGTTTCATTATCCTATCCTTTTTTTTTTTTTTTTTCTTTTTATCATCAGTTGCGATCATTGGACAGGATTCATGATAGAAAGCATGCGAGAAACGAGATCATGGGCGATAGGCGTGGAAACAACCTTTGCTTTTTTTTTTCTTTCTTGAACATGGGAAACAGCAGCATATTATGGGATAGACTTTAATAAGCAGACAGGTG